AAGACCACGGGCCTGACTTGAGACTTCCCTCTTCATGGTCTCGCCCCCCACTTTTATCTACCCTTCTTCCACAGCCAGCCCTGCTCTGACCCTTCAGAGACTTCTTGGGTTGGTCCATGAGGTAGATACCCTGTTGGGTGCCTCTGCAGGCTTTCCTTCCCATTTTCCCACTGCGAGAGGTTTGCTTTCATCTGAGTGGTTTCCTTGAAGGCATCATGGAGTGATCTGGAGAAGCAAAAACCATTTGGAGTATTCAGGTTCGTCTTGCCAAGCATTCATTTAAGGATGGAAGTGCAACTCAAAGGAGACCTATGGGGACAGTTGGCAGGGGTTCTGGATGAGAGGCTGCCCTTCTCTGCCTGCTCCCCTCTGCGAGGCCTGGAGCAGCAGACCCATCTTGTGAGGGCAAACCAGCGGAAGAAGGGTGAGAGCCCTTGCTCTGTGGGGGCGCTCAGTGTCCTTCCCATGTAAGCCATTGACTTGAGGAGTGTTTAGAGAACACCCAGGTGCTCTTCTCAGTCCAAGAGAACAGCAGGGAATGTAAAAGTTCCTTCATGGAACTGATGCTCTGGAGGAGGAGACGGTTGAGGCTAACACACATGGGGCTGATGCATTCCACCTGCTCCCAGGCTTGCCTTTCCCTTTCCCTGGACCCTCCTCTCTGTCCAGAGGCTGGCCTGAATGGGAGGGCTCCCCTGTCCATTTTCAGCTGACCTCAGCCAATGGGGAGCCCCAGTTGGATACCAGAGAGTAGAGAAGAAAGAGGTCAGGCTCCCTCTGAATTAGGCTGGGCTTGGCAGGGGGGCCTTCCTTCTCAATAGCCACTGCCCCAGCTCTCAGCAGGATCTGTTAATCCTCCTCTCAAATCCTTAACCTTCAGCCTTCCTTGATGCCCACACTCCTGTCATTCAGCCCTCTGCAAACCTTCCTGTCCTGAGATAGCTCCTTCTGAGCTCTCGGGTGTGCAGGGACATCTCAGCACTGGGAAGAGCCTGTGCAGGGGTTCTGAGATGGGTCTGGGTATTCAGGAAAAGGGGTGTGAAGAGAACAGACATAATAATGCAAGGGAGGGAGGTGGGTGGCGAGGTCCATGAAGTGACAAAGCAGAAGCCATTAGTACCATGCAACCTCTGTGGGGCTTCAGTGCCCATGGGCACAGAGGGTCCCCTGCAAGGGTGTGAGCGCAGGAGCAGCAGGTGCTGACTGGGTGTTTAAGAATTGCCTGCCTGCTAGGTGGGAAGGGGGACCTACAGGGTCAGGTAGGACAGATATCCCAGTCAGGAGGGGACCGCATGGACTGGGCAGGAGAACATGGCATCCATGGCAGCAGATGGAGGAGTCACTGAGTTCTGGATGTATCCTGAAGGTGGACTAGCGGGGCTGCTGACAGTGGTGGGCCTGGGAGACAGAGGAGTTCAGTGTGACTCCAAGATGACTGGCCAAGTACAGGAAGGATGCAGTTGGTGTCACTGACACAGGGAAGGCATGGGAGAGGCAGGGCTAGAAGAAGGAGGTCAAGCCCTCAGTTTCATACATATGAAGCTTAAAGTCTGTGGGAGACTGTGTTTCCATAGCCCTGATGCATACCATCTTCTTGGGTTCACTCCTTTGTGCAGTCCCCTCCTCTTACATCAGGACTGGCCCTGGGACCTGCTTAAACTCATTAGATGCACAAGTCTGAGCCTTGGGAAAGCCTGGCACCTTCTGCTTTGGCATCCTTGGAAGCCAGCTGCCATATAAGAAGGTGACTCTCCCCCAGACCACCCAGCGATGAAGGAGACTGGGCAACCCAATAAAGGGAGGCCCGTGTGGAGGAGAATAGAACTGACAGTCATGGGTGTGAGACCAGCACCAAATGCTCACCCCAAAAGTGAGGCATTAGACTGATCCAAGCTGACACCGAGGGAAGTCAGAGTCATCTAGCACAGAGTATCAAGAAAAATAATAAATTGCTATTTCAGATCCAGAAAACCACAAGAGATTTAGTGCAAACATTCACAATGGGGAGTAGTTTTGCCCCCAGCAAGGTAATTGACAATGTCTTGTGATATTTTTGGTTGCCACAACTGGGATTGGCATCTAGTGGGTAGAGGCCACAGAAGCCACTAAACATCCTACAGCTCGAACTGAATGTCCAGGATGGCTCCCAGCAACAGAGAATTATCTGCGTCCAAATGCCAGTGGTGGTCTGCCTGAGAAACCCTTGCCTTCATACTTTTTAATATGGTACTGATAATTTTGGCTTTCTGAAAGGAAATGACAATCATATGGGTGGGAATATGTTTTTAAGGAGGAGAAAGTAAGAAGAATGACTCAGACTAGTTAAGGATTCTTCCAAGTTTGGTGTTTTTTATTTGCATTTTTCTACTTTTTCCAAAATAATAGTATTTCTGCTACTATTATGTGGGCATAATAAGCTACTAATTCTCTTCTTTTCAGAGAGGCTTTCTGCCGCTCAGTAAGCTGCAACTCGTCTTTCTTCCTTTCTTTCTTTATTCTTTCTTTGACAGATAGAGAACACAAGTAGGCAGAGAGGCAGGCAGAGAAGGTAGGGGGAGCAGGCTCCCCGCTGAGCAGAGAGCCCAATGCAGGGCTCGATTCCAGCACCCTGAAATCACGACCTGAGCCGAAGGCAGAGGCTTAACCCACTGAGCCACCCAGGTGCCCCCATCATACTTCTGTTGGGGCTGAAGAATCTCCTCCATGGGGAAGCCCTGGGAACAGAGTGAGACAGTATAACAGACAGCACAGAGGCCCTACTGACATAAAATATAGCATTTGCACACTGGATTGTCTGGGAAGTTTTGAGAGGTTTTGGATGAGGAAACAAGTGAGAAATATGACAAAGACTGAGGTAAATGGAACTAATAGAATACTATTGTTACCAATGATAAAAATCTAGACACAGGAATGTGGCTTAGGTATCAGAACAACCTTACTGAGCTGGGTGTATTTGAGTGGATATCCTTGCCCTGTGGCAGAGGCCCAGCAGAGGCAGCTTCATTCTGCTTTCCCTGGAGAAGCCACAGAGAATGTCAGCCTCTGTGGGGAGCTCACCCCCACTTGACAAGAGACTAGGGGCTGAGGCGACCGTATCTAGCTGAGGACTTGTAAATGTTCTCTGGTGTAGAGTGGGGAAGGGAAGAGAGAGGTCCTGGATTTTATTAATGGAGCTCCATTCATGGCAAGTGGGGAAAGATGCTCCAGCCTGCCCCCTACCCTACTAGTACAGATTATAAATCCTCCCTTGTCTGCTTTAGCTACTACCTGTGCTAATACAGTAGCTTTTGGCCATGTGTGAGCTACTGACCTTAAATGTTCAGTTTCTTAATCACACTGGCCACATTTTACTGCTCAGAAGACACTTGTGGCTAGAGAATGCTGTACTGGACCATGTGGCTATCGACCATTTGCACCCTCAGAGAGAAAGATCCAGTGGATGGTACTGCTCTGAGATTTTTGTATCTCATCTTTGTATCATCAGTGCCTATAACCAGGCCTGACTCAGAGGCACACAGAGATGTTTGTGGAGTTGATAGAGGAAAGAAAACTCTTGTGATTATTGCTTTTCACACCTGCATGTCCTAAAGATCTTTCCTTTCCCAAATAGCAAGAAGTGACAGAGGAGCATGGGTATCTTGTTAAATGAAATAGATCAGTTGAAAAATATGCATTCTATAATTCTATTTTTAAAACTTGTTATGAATTAAAAAAAGGTAAGATTAGGTAGTATGTTAATTTTCTAGATAAGCAAAGGAAGATATGGTTGTTCTCAATGTCAAGTACTAAAAAAAAGGCAGTGTTAACAGTAAATAAGACATGGTATTGAAATAAAAGGACAAATCACAGCTGTTGGCCTCGTGGCTACTGCATGCAAACCATGAAATCTGTTTCCTAAGGAGTATGTAAAGTAATGTTTTCTTTCCCCCAAAATGGCTCCCTTGCTAAGCTGCAGAGAAGAATCTGGCCAGATGGCACAGTCTCATTTTTCTGTTACATCTCCTGACGCAGCAATATACGTTTTTTCCCATGTCGCCTTAGAGAAATTACTTTTGTTCATTACAGAAGTAATCTTTACTCTGGGAATGGACCCAGTGACTGTGACCACATCCCAGCACCGACTGTGATCATCCTCTTGCCGCCTTACCTTCCTCCTTGTTTGCTAGTTGATGAGCTCACAGCTGCTGGACCAGAGTTCCGTCCATAAAATGAAGACATTCCATCCGACAGGGCCAAATCTAAATTACTGAAATAAGAATGTTAAAGCATGAAGCTGTGCCTTAAAAAGTAGCTAGGGCCATCTAACCCACACCAAAAATCATCCTTGTTTCAGAATAAAATCTGGAGATGCCACAGTAATTTCTCAAGAAAAAAAAATCTTATCAATCATTACAAGAATACTAAAAATGAAAAGGACTAATAAAATAGTACAGATAGACCAGTTTATTTATCAGCTCCGCTGTTTTAGTTCATGTTCAGTTGATGGAAGAAAAGAATATTTTTATTTATTTATTTGACAGAGAGAGAGAGGGAGAGAGAGAGAGATCACAAGTAGGCAGAGCAACAGGCAGAGATAGAGGGAGAAGCAGGCTCCCCGCCAAGCAGAGAGCCCAATGCGGGACTTGATCCCAGGACCCTGAGATCAGGACCCGAGCCAAAGACAGGGGCTTAACCCACTGAGCCACCCAGACTCCCTAGAAAGGAATATTTTTATCCAGCTATTAAAATGAATGAATGTAAAGAGCTGAATATAATCATCCAGAAAAAAATAGCACTAACAAAATAGTTTTAAACATGAGCGTGATAAAAATGATTTCTCTGTAATTACTTTGTTCATTGACTCTTACTCATTCTTAAATCATAATGGATTCTTGGCATTGGGTAGAATTCCACTGGGATGAATGAGTTCCTGCAGGACTGATACTTTGAAGAGATGGCTGGAGCTTTTGTTATATTATTCCCTTCTTAATTTTTTTTCTGTTGCTGTTTCTGTTTTTTAGACCCACTATGAGAACGGGGAGTATATCATCAGACAAGGTGCGAGAGGGGACACCTTCTTTATCATCAGCAAAGGAACGGTAAGCCCCTGCAGCACGAGGGCATACATAGTGGGGCAGGGGGCCTGGGTTGCATCAGTCACCCCCAGAGATGCACACAGTCTTGAGAGAGAAATATTTGACAATGGATCTCCCGAAAATGATGCCAGAGGAAGAAAAACTGTAACTCTGAAGGCCAGAAAATAGCTTGTGTTCTGTAATTTAATAACCATGGCCCTAGATGTTGCTGATATGTCTGCATAAATGGGAATATTTCCATAATTTCTATAATTCAACAAGAAAAAGACTAAGGTCGCTTTAAAATTCCTCAGCAGTAAAAGAAAAACCAAAATCCAAAAAAAATTCCCTCTAGTGATTAGGAGCAGGAACATTACTATCTTGAAACCCCCGGGCTTTGAAATCAGGTAGCCTAAGTATACTGAGTAACTTACCAGTCTCAGTGTCCCTAGCCAAGTTGCTTAGCACTCTGATGACAAAAAGGTATAAATACACTGATGTTTTATTGTGTCTTCAGAAATACTGAGTTTATACTGAGAAACTATTAGAAGCCTTAAATTATAAGGGAAGGGATAAGGAGGGGCTGGACCCAGGGATAGGAATGAAAAATCATAATTTATCCACTTGTATTATTTTTCAGTTATCAGTATTCTAAATCTTTTAAATTTTATTTAAAAATGAAATAATAAATTAAGTGAACTGGAAAATGGAGACTTGTATAGATGAATACTCTAATACTCCAACAAATTCCTTTCATTTCTTGCAACAGTGAAGTCACAGTTATTTTTGTGTTTAAATGTCCTTGCCCTATGACTAGTGACTAGAACCTACTTTGCTTCACCATAAGACATGCTTAAGAGGAATTTGGATGTGCTAAGCCCAGGAAGCAATAGGAAAGGAAATGCCAGTGGAAGGGGGTTTATATAGCAGTTTCATCTGTATAATTGTTACTTTGAAATGTAAGTTTAGGGACACCTGGCTGGCTCTATTGGTAGAGCATGTGACTCTTGATCTCAGTGTCCTGAGTTCAAGCCCAATGTTGGGTGTGGAGATAAAGTGTTGAAGAGTTTTTGAAAATGTAAGTAAACATCTTTCTTCTAACTTAACAGATATGAATGACTCTAGGACTTTATGGCTCCTACTAAAATAGGAAAGAGAGACGTACAGTGCCGCAGTAGACAAGATAGGTGAAAGATTATAAATCTTACTGGATCACATTTTCAATCATCCTCTCTGGACTGATTTTGAATCACGAATGTGTCAATGTTTACACCAACGACTTGTCACAGTAAACTGAAGAGAGCATTCTTTGTGCTTGTCTCATACCTTTTCTTTTGACTGATAGCAGAAAGCCTGAGACAGAGAGAAATGTCAGGTGCCAGCATCTTATAGACATCAAGAAATGACACAACTGACCACAGTTACACTTAAAACTGTATTTTGAATTTTCCAATGTTAGAGGCTAAGGAACCTTGACATTGTGTGGTTTATGTGTAAGGTGTTGGAGCTTTATCATTTGCTGTTTTATTTCTTAACATTTACTAAAGGATCAGGGGAAATTAAAAATCCTCATGGTTATAAATGATTCAGTAGGTCACAGGGGAATTTTTTTTTGTCCCAACAATCTGGATTTATTTTTTCTTTATTACACTGCTAATCCTTTGCTATCATGGAATGATACATTTATCCGTTTAAGATGAATTTCTGACAGACTTTTGTGATTACACCATTATGGTAAATTTCAAGTACTACCTAAAGGAAGCTGCTATTTGTGACCAGTTTCAGTTGCAGACAGGTGCATTAGTGTGCTGCTTTATGAGTTTTGTAAGATGGGTAAATGGATATAGTGAGGAAATGCACCACAGGAACCAGTTCCCTTGGCAGTGTTTCAGAGGACCTTGGGGATTCTGGGAAAAAAGTAGTAAGAATATGTTAGATGCTTTTGATACAGTCAGGATTTTTTTTTTTTAACTACCCATAGATTTTTCTAAGGCTGGTTTTCATGTCCTACAACTTAGCTGCTATGATTTTTAATTACATGAATTATATGATAATTAATAGATGGTATATTAGTATATTCTATTAATTCTATTATGCACGTATTAGAATCAATAAGTTAGGTCCTAAGAAGCAGGAGATTAACACACTTAAGTCCTGCGGGAGGAAGAGGAGAGAAAAGTAACAAGAGTGCCTTTAAGTTAGCAGGCAGGTAAGTTGTGGAACTGGAATTTTCTGAATCTGTATGCTTTGCTTTGGGTATACAGATGTAAACTTGTTTTCATATGTATTTTAAAACTTAACAAAGAAAAACCCTGGAGAAGATGGTTTCCTTATTTCAATTGAACTGGCTTTTCCTTGGAACACGTTGTAAAACATGAAACAGAAGGCTAGAGTTACCAGTGGATTTCCCCAGTTCAAGACATTTATTGAAGCACAAAACTTTTTTTTTTTTTTTAAAGATTGTATTTATTTATTTGACAGACAGAGATCACAAGCAGGCAGAGAGGCAGGCAGAGAGAGAGGAAGGGAAGCAGGCTCCCTGCTGGGCAGAGAGCTGGATCCGGGGCTCACTCCCAGGACCCTGAGATCATGACCTGAGCTGAAGACAGAGGTTTTAACCTGCTGAGCCACCCAGGCACCCCCACAAAACTGTTTCTATTCTCCCATGAAACACATCCACACAAAGAGGAAAACTCTGAAATGCTTATTTTCCCCCATTAAATGTACACAAACTGATTTTTCTACAACTTCGGCACCATGCTTGCAGTGATATCTAAAAGATTCAGGTAGAAGCTGAGTTTGTTCTATATATATATGTATATTCCAGTTGCCTGGAGACTTGACGCTCCCTACCCCCAGCAATGAACTATGAAACATCCACGAATTCACAACAGAGCAATGAAAAATATCTTTGATAAAATCTGTAGCTGTGTTACATCCAAAAATGTACTCTCTTCATACACAAGTTAAACCAAAATTGAACAGAATTGGTAGGCAAAATTTCAGAGTTCCAATAATAATTCAAATGTATTTTGATTTTCTGATTCTATTCAACATACCTTGTATGCTACCATTAGAAAAAAAAAATGTGATTCAAAAGTTCTTGTCCCTTAAATGCCATTTAAAACGACATGGCTTTTTTTAGAATTAACATGCGTTTAAGCATGTTGGTTAAACAAGTTGGCTTAACATGATATTTGGTGTTGAATATGAAAATTCATATTTTTATATGATTTTATATGGAAATTTTCATATGGAAATTTTATTTGTATATGGATACATAAGAGTGAAACATGAGAAGCTCTTCCTTTATTTAATTTTTATTTTTATTTGTGTTTTTTCTTTAGATTTTTTTTTTTTTATTTGACAGGGAGATCACAACTAGGTAGAGAGGCAGGTAGAGAGAGAGAGGGAGAAGCAGACTCCTTGCTGAGCAGAGAGCCCGATGTGGGACTCAATCCTAGGAACCGGAGATCCTGACCTGAGCTGAAGGCAGAGGCTTAACCCACTGAGCCATCCAGGCATACTTTTTTTAATTTTTAAAAAGATTTTATTTATTTGACAGAGAGCACAAGCAGGGGGAGGAGCAGAAAAAAGAGGGAGAGCAGGCTCCCTACTGGGCAAGGAGACTGATGCAGGGCTTGATCCCAGGACCTCAGGATATGTATGTATTAAACATACATTAAATTGCAAACATTAGAAAGGAGATCATGAACATGGGATTCATGACAGACATGTTGGGAGAGTGGGTTAGAACACATGGTGGAAAGAGACTGATTTACTCCTGTGTTACACAGAGGGTTCGATGGTCAAATCAGACTCTTAGGAATCATAAATCCTGCCCACACTGAATTTAGCTCATGACTCAAAGAATACAGGCAAGCTTCAAGTTCAGAAAGAGACATTCTTACCCAGTACATGTCCCAAACTACCAGATATAGTTCCTAACGTGTCCTCATTCTGCATCAGGAGGCATTTTTGATGTGAGAATAACACAGCCAATTTTTGAGTCATACATGCAGGACATTGTAAGGGGAACTGTTTCGGGAATGCCTTGGCTTTTGTAATCTATTAGTCACAGAGGTAGGAAAATGATTACCTCACTAACCCTCACTCTCCAGGTGGGTTTTCCCCATAAATCTGTAAATTCCAGGCTTTCCCCCCCACACACAATAAACATTGCTTTGTTTATAAAACCTGCTGAATGTGTACTAAAACATTTTCTTTTCTTTTTGAATTGTTTTTGATTAAACATGCACCCTGATATTACTTATTGAAGACTTTGGTAAAAGATCAATTTTTTACATCTTTTTAAAAATATCTAATTTTTATTTTGGTTGTTAATTTTTTGAATTATGCATATGGCTAAAAAGTTTTAAAAACTCAAATTACGAAAAAAACTCAAATTACGAGACTACATATATGTTTTATAGAAAGAAAGTTCGCATATAGATAAGTAAAAAGAACATTAGAATACGCATTCTCTTTTATCTGTCTAGAAGTAAAGAAGCTTATGCTCTAAATAGCATTTTATAACAACAATGAGAGAGCAGTAGTAGTGATGGGGATATTTCTTTTACAGTAAAATGCATGAATTTTCAAAGTAGGTGAGTGAAATAGAAAAGGGGAGAATTATAGGAGAAGTAACCAACTTTTTTGAGCACTTACTATTTTTTGTCAAGATTTCCTTATTTGAGAGAGCTAGTGTTCATGAGTGCACAAGCAGGGGGAGGGGCAAAGGAAGAGGGAGAGAGAAAATCCCAGGCAGGTTCCTTGCTGGGTGGGGAGCCTGACTCAGGGCTTGATCTCAGGACCCTGAGATCATGATCTGAACCAAGGTCAAGAGTTAGACGCTCAACTGACTGAGCCACCCAGGTGCCCCGAGCATGTACTTTTAGAAGGATGCTTTTCATAAATTTTCTCATTTAATTCATGCACATATACACAGCCTCTTTTCAGATCAGCCTTCCAGGTTTTGGACAAGGTGAGGAGCTAACAGAGGTTCAAACAGATGGAGTATTATCTTTAAGGCTCTGTGGCTAGTTCTTTCCCATAGCATTGTAGATTATAAAGTACTTTGAGATTTCAGGGAAAAGAGTAAGTAATCTAGGCCAAGGTCAGAGAGGCTATCTCTGTGTATGTAACTTTCTCTACACTGACTTTTTTTTTTTTTTTTTTTTTAAGAATTAAAGATGCAGGGGTGCCTGGGTAGCTCAGCGGGTTAAAGCCTCTGCCTTCGGCTCAGGTCATGATCCCAGGGTCCTGGGATCGAGCCCCGCATCAGGCTCTCTGCTTAGCGGGGAGCCTGCTTCCCCCTCTCTCTGCCTGCCTCTCTGCCTACTTGTGATCTCTGTCAAATAAATAAATAAAATCTTTAAAAAAAAAAAGAATTAAAGATGCAAGTGTCCATGACAGGTGTCTGTGCATATTTACAATGATTCATTATATATACAAAGTAACAGTGTGGCCGTTACAACCTAAAAGGAAAGCTTTTATTCTTGCTCTTTTAACTGCTTATCTTTTCACATATATGGATTATCCAGATAGGTTTTCCTTCATACTTGTCATATAAGCAGAAAGTGGTCTATTCTGTAGGTGTCCAACTTTTTATAGCTGTTACTGTATTTCAGTAACATTTTTGTGAAGAATATTTCCAAAGCCACTGAAATCTCCCCATGTCTTGTGTAAGTCTGCCATTTGGAATTTCTTAATCATTTTTGTTGTTGTTAACCAGATGGAAAAGTTACAATTATGTAACATATCCTTATGTCTGATTTTGAATTAATTATCTTACAGTATATTACACCTTAGTTAATGACTGTTTTGGTTTTGGTTTTTTGTTCTTGTTGTTGTTTTGTTTTGTTTTGGCTTTGGTAGTGAGGACTGCCAAATAATCTTTAGTACAAATGAGAAAACCGAGGCCCAGAAATAAAACAATGCATTGATGTGTGCTGAAGTTTGGTCTTCAAAACATTTGCATCTGAATCACCTATATTAATCTTTTCAAATACAGATTTCCCAGTCCCACTAAATTAGAACTTCAAAAATAGGAGTCTGGTAGCCTTTATTTATTTCTTTCTCAAGTTTTTTTTTTTTTTTTAAGATTTTATTTATTTATTTGACAGAGATCATAAGTAGGCAGAGAGGCAGGCAGAGAGAGAGAGAGAGAAAGAGAAGCAGGCTCCCCACCGAGCAGAGAGCCCGATGTGGGGCTCAGTCCCAGGACCCTGGGATCATGACCTGAGCCGAAGGCAGAGGATTTAACCAACCCAGTGAGCCACTCAGGCACCCCTCTTCGAAGTTTTTATTTAAATTCCAGTTGGTTCATGTGCAGTGTAATATTCATTTCATTGGTAGGATTTAGTAATTAATCACTTAAGTGCTCATTCCAATAAATGGCCTTGTTAATAGCCATCACTCATTTAACCCATCACCTACCCACTAGCCCTCCAGCAACCCTCAGTTTGTTCTCTATCATTAAGAGCCTTTTTGATGGTTTGCGTCTTTTTCCTCCACTTTGTTCATCTGTTTTCTTTCTTAAATTCCACCTATAAGTGCAATCATTTGGTATTTGTCTTTCTCTGACTGATTTCACTTAGCATAATACACTCTAGCTCCATGTACATCATCGCAACTGGCAAGATTCCATTTGCTTTGCTTGTTGACAATATAATGTTGTATATTTATACCACATCTTCTGTATCACTTTGCTAACCAGTGGGCATTTGGGCTCTTTCCATAATTTGGCTATTATTGCTATTGCTGCTATAAATACTGGGGTACATTGTACCCCTCTGAATTAGTATTTTTATGTACTTGGGGTAAATACCTAGTACTGCAATTGCTGGATTGTATTCTGTAGTAGCTCTATTTTTAACTTTTTGAGGAAATGCCATACTGTTTTCCAGAGTGACTGTACCAGTTTGCATTCCCACCAACAGTGCAGGAGAGTTCCCCTTTCTCTGCATCCTCTCCAACATCTGTCATTTCCTGACTTGTTAATTTTAGCCATTCTGACCAGTGTGAGGTAATAACTCACTGTAGTTTTGATTTGCATTTCCCTAAAGATGAGTGATGTTGAGCATCTTTTCTTGTGTCTGTTGGCCATCTGGATATCTTCTTTGGAAAAATGTCTATTCATGTTCTCTGCTCATTTCTTAACTAAATTATTCATTTTTTGGATGTTGAGTTTGATGCATTCTTTATAGATTTCAGATACTAACCCTTTATCAGATATGTCCTTTGCAAACATGTTCTCCCATTCCATAGGTTGCCTTTTGGTTTTGTTGATTGTTTCCTTCATTGTGCAGAAACTCTTTATCTTGACGAAGTCCTAATAGTTCATTTTTGCTTTTGTTTTCCTTGCCTCAGGAGGTGTATCTAGTGAGAAGTTCAGTGGCCTTTATTTTGAATAAGACCCCTTACCCTGAAGTTTGAGAATCAAGGAGCTAGTGTATTTCTTCCCACATTTATAAAAGCCTCGTTGGCATGCAAATAACCATCTCTGTGATATAGCTTGGTGTAAGAGGGTTAAAACCTGCATCCCCATGGTTTTGAAACACAGTGTAGAAAAGTAATCGAATGGATCAGTGGAGAATAGTAATTGAATACCCTCCACCTTGCACGTACATTCTTAGTACTTATAAAAATCCTGGTCTTTGTCATCCATTCTCTAAACTCAGAAACCTGAAGCATAATATTTTTAAGTGTGCTTAAGTGTCTAGCACTGTCTTAAGAAATTAATTTTTTCTGCTTCATTACATTTTCCAGGCAGGTGAGTTTTAACTATTTAACCATTCTAGAAGAAACATAGCCAGTATTATGAATATTAGTAGAACTTGAAGTAGGAGTAAATTAACACAAAGGTACATTTATGTCTTTATTCATGCAACAGAAAGATTATTACTCTCCTTCCGTGGACTGTCAACCAGGTCAAAAGTCCTGTATGGGCCCAGATATCTTATTTAAGTAATGAAGCTTTTCTGTTCCAATAACTCAAAGCTCTTTTATTAGGTGCTTATAAATCATAGACAGTATCAAAGATGAACCCATATTTTTGAAGAGCACACTCTTATAAAGGAAAAAAGATATACATGTAATTCATAGATCTTTTAAAAATGAAATCCTTCTGAATGAAGCATGCAGACCTCAAGGACTGTCATGCGTTAGAGACTATAAGAAGGCTTCATGAACATGGGAGTAGCCTTTGGAATGGAGTGTGGATCCTTGGGAAAAAGAGACAGACATTGTCTTAGAGGAATGGGGACATGCATGCAAGGGGCACAGAAAGATTCTTACTGCAGAGAAGAATGGAAACAATTTAAACATTCACCTGAAGGAATTAGATGGATAAGCATATGGAAAGAAAGACGGCATGGACGCATTCAAGTAGAGGAACTAGATTTCTATGTAAGAGTGTGGATAAGCAATAAAACGATGTCACGAGAAAAAGTGTAAGTTGCAGAACAATGCACACTGTCTTAGGTTATTCATCTATTTTTTAAAAATTCAAACATAGAAACACACTGAAAAAGATTGGAGGAATGCTCACTTAATTCTTTATCATGCTTGCCTCATAGGAGGTCTGAATGAGAATTAAGTGAAATTCAGATTTTTGAGTAATTTATTACTACTTGAAAACAACTCAAAACAGCATGACAATATTTGGAGGACATTTCTTGTGGTTTGCATGGAAATTTGTGATATTCCTCTTGGTACTTTCAGTGGTAATGTCCTCATGGTCTTCATGAAAGTAAGCTTAAAAGAAGAAACAGAAATGGAATTAACATCATCAGTTAGTGTTGATTTGATCAGTCACTGTGTGCAGTGGACATAGACCTTTGTTTTTCTTTGTAGGTAAATGTCACTCGGGAAGACTCCCCCAGTGAAGACCCCATCTTTCTTCGAACTTTAGGGAAAGGAGACTGGTTTGGAGAGAAAGCCTTGCAGGGGTGAGTAGATGACGTGTTACACAGTTTCTGTTTGAGTGCCACATAAACTCCCATCTCACATTCGGAGCTCTGAGCAAAACGGACTATTTACTGTTGATCCTAATATCGGACACAGACCCTTGATGACCATTTTTATTTATTTCCAAGTGGACTTGTAATGCATTTATATAGGCTTTGGGATTAATTGATGAACTTGTATAATATCATTTTTATATTAATGGGGAAATTTCCTGGCTTTGTGCTCTTCTACAATCTCTATAAAGACACTAAAAGAGAGGGGGAATGTTTCTGCTAAGCTTAATTTGTGCTGCAATTTTGCTCTGAATCTTAGGAAGATGATTGGTTGAGAATTCTGAAATCCCTGAACTGACTACACAGAGCAGAAGGTGATGGACGCTTGCTGGGCTTCACATCTGGGTAGCGATTTTCTCTGTGGGTGGAGGTTAGGCACATGAAGGTTCCCTGTGAACGGTCCAAAGGCTGGACCCAGAGATGTGCACTGTACAAGGTCCCTGAATTTGACTTGTAAAGGAAGACCTCAAGAAGCAAGCACTTGGGATTTCTTCCCACATACTATGAAAAGGGAAGCCAGTTGACTTTGAACCACACACATAGCAGAACACATGACAAACAATGACGGACCTCTTTGGATGTCATTCTTGCTTCCATTATGCTTTCATTTAAAAATTACATTTTATGCATTTTGTTTTAAATTACTATGAAGAGATCATTTGGGGAGTTTTGATTTTTAAGGCACAATCACAGAGCAGGGTTTTTTTTTTTCTTTCTTAGCCAAACAGAGACTCTGATAAGTCATCTTATGTATGCCACATTACCTTATGAACATTCAGAGCTAAAAGCCTTTTACTTTCTTTTTTTCTTCTTAGTTCATTTGATCCATATCTGATGAGCGTGTCCTTACCATTAGATTTTTTTCCTAATGGAAAAAATACTGTGCTTGCTGTACATTCACAAAAGAAGGCAATAAACATTATCTTTTTAGTATAAAGTGCACAGACCTATCATTTGCATCTGAGTCATTCTGTCCCTCGATTATACATAGAGGATTCTAGAGAATAATGCCTCCTGGTTCCATTGGTCCAAGATTAACTGCCTGTGTGAAAAATGTCATTTCCAACAGGGCCAAAGAAACAAATATTTTCATTCATTTCTGATTGAGATCACAAGTGGAACACCAGAAAATAAAACATAATTGAAAATGGACAGATTTTCTTTTGTAGCTTACTGCCACTGAATTTGGGTGCCGATGAAAGAAAGCTTTTAGGATGAAAACCCCTTTCTAGAATGTGTCTTAAGAAGGGACCATGAGGATATATAGTTTGTGGAGAAGTTACCAGATTTCCTCTGGTATCAGTGTCATGGTATTGATTGGATTCACTCTGGCATGTGGCTATTCCCATGAGCTGTCTGGGGCCCAAAGTCTCTCTTGTCCTTATTCGGTCCTCTGCTCCAGGGGGCTCCTCACTCTACCCCTCCCCGGACCTTCCCACTGCCCCGCCTTCCCCTGACCCCATCTTCTCCCCTGCAATGTCTGTCTTTCTTCTGACTGGATCTCTTACACTCCCGCTGGTCAGCCTGGCTTGATCAGCCCATTCTAAGCGCCTTCTTCAATGTCACCAGCAATTCATTACTTGCATCAGAGAATGTTCTTCCTTTTCTGTCTTCTTTGCATTTCCCTTCTCAGCCACAGTTTTACCCCTGCTGACCCCACCCCCCTTCCTTTGTCCCTTCCTTCGTCCCTTCCTTCCTTCTTTGTTTTTTTGGGAGAGAGAGAGAGCAGGAGTGCCCAGGAGCAGGGGGAGGGGCAGAGGGAAAAGCAGGTTCCCCACTGAGCAGGGAGCCAGATGTGGGGCTGGATCCCAAGACCCTGAGATCATGATCTGAGCCAAAAGCAGGCGCTTAACTGACTGAGCCACCCAGGCATCCCCACCCCTTTTTTTCTTCAAATTCCCCTTCCGTTGGGTCCCTTGCAACTGTTAGCACTCTTAGAATTTCTCATTCAGTTTCCTAAAATCCATCACTGTTTCGTCCTCAGCTCTCTCTATCCCATACATTTTGGTATACATTGAGATCCATGGTTGCATGTCTCATTGATGAGAAGTCCAAATACTTAAATTCTTACATGAGCCCTGTATCTGGCGCTTTTCAGATACTCAACATGTATTCGTCAAATTGAATGAATGAATGAATGAATGAATGAATGAATGAATGAATGAAAAATTAACCTCTCTAATGAAGCCCAGTCAGGCATTCCCTTCTTGCTGAGATCTTGTTTCTCTGCTTGGATCCATTTGGCAGTATGTAAGAGGTTATGAACTGGCTTGTATACAGGGGACAGGCCGGTAACGTACATAAGTAAGGTAAGGTGGCAAATTAGAAACCTTTACGTGAACAGGACAGCAATTCCTGACCTCCAGCTCATTGCTAGGTTTCTTTGTTTGTTTATTTTGTTTTTTGTTTTTGTTTTAGCAGAAAAAATTTGGGTTTTGAAAAAAAAATGAAATCTGATTTTGTAACTTGATTTTTGAAAGAAAAAAAAAACCACTCTGCAAACAAACAAAAAACCCAACAAACATTTTGCAAATGCTTTGAGTTGTGAGCTGTCATTTTGTGATTTCTATCTATCAGGTATGTCTTCTTAAAATGCTGTATCTAGAATCAAATGAAGGAAGCCTTCTTGATTATTTCCTTGCTTTGATATTTTTAACTGTTTTGATGTTCTATGTGTGTAACCTGTTTTTCACTCTGAGTATCTATGTTCTTTTTTTTTTTTTTTAATCTTTTTTTTGGAGTTTCAGTGTTTCACACAAGAAATTCTAACTTTTCACAGATCACATTGATTTGCTTGTTTCTCTCTTAAAACCTTCAAAATTGATGTTGCTTTGAGATAGAAAGTCCTCTGGGCAATGTGTGTTTCCTTTTGGGTAGTATCTATGCTTCTTTGCAAATCAAGTGATTTTTATCCTTGGAAGACCGATTGCATAGAGTTCTCTGCATGTACATAACATTTCAGCTTGTTCTCTCACATGTAAAATTTACATGTACTGGGAATTGTTGCTTTAGTTTACTGAGGATGTTCAGCAGAACCCTAAAATATTGATAACTTGGTTAATTTTGACACGAATCCCTGACCACACTTTTTTTTTTTAAGATTTTATTTATTTATTTGACAGAGATCACAGGCAGGCAGAGAGAGAGAGGAAGGGAAGCAGGCTCCCTGCCAAGCAGAGAGCCCAACGTGGGGCTCGATCCCAGGACCCTGGGATCATGACCTGAGCCAAAGGCAGAGGCTTTAACCCACTGAGCCACTCAGGCGCCCCCCTGACCATACTTTCTAATCTTCAGAGTGCTTAATACCAGTAGCAGTGAAGCACACGGTAGATGGTTGAATGATGGAGCTGAAATGTGAGCTCCACACTCCGTCTACAGAACTCTACCCTAGAGTTCAGCATCACGAAAGAACAAGCTCCATTTCCTTGTTCTATGCAGACAGTAGGGTCCTAGCTCTAGCCATTTTATAATCTATATGATTACCATCCATTAACCAGTAGCATCTGATTAGCAGAGAAACTGAGGTCATGCATTGCTTTCAGTTTGGTTAATGTGAAGCAGATTATTCAGTATTCCTTGGCTCAAGCACTATATATTTCTTCCTTTCTCTCTTTCTTTCTTTCTCTCTTGTTTCTTTTTGCTGTAGTAATGGGTTTTCCACACCAGAGAGAGGGCAAGATGTACTGTTTATAAAAGGACTGTTTCCTTATGTACAGGAAAACTCAAGTTGTCTTTAGGAGAAATTACTGCAGGTGTAGTCCAATAACTCATGAGTCAATCTACCACATGCTTACTGTGGCTTCAAGCTCTCTCCACCTGACTTGAAATCATGCAGAATCCACATGGGAAGAAATGGTGTCCAATTCTAAGCCACACCCTGCTGTGCATCTGGAGTAAGAGGGAAAAACTTAAGAGTAAGAGGAACCTGACGAGGATGGGGATGAGCTCCCACATGGCCCAGTCCCCTTCTCCTCACATTTGAGTCTCCAATGTAGCCTGTGGTGAAGAGTTCCAGCCCAGAAATCAGACTGCCTGGGTTCAGATCCGCTTTGTCATTTACACATTATGAGACCCTGGGATCTTCTCCTTTAATCAGAAATGGTGGTGATGATTGTACCTAACTTTCTTTTTTGTTTGTTTGTTTAGTTATGGAGAGGAATAATCAAGGGGATTGCTGTAAAGCATTTGAGTGTCTAGAATTTAAATTTTGCTCAGAAGAAGTAGCTGCTACCATCAGCACCACCGCCATCTTGTTTCCACTATCATTATCAGTACAATTGGTATCATCACCAGCATCACTCCCAAGAATGTTCTGCTACTTCTTGCCAAACTTTGGAACACTTGGTATAACTGAAGTAGCATTAGATGTGGAGTCAACCCCTCACTAGTGATATCACTTGGAGTGAACCACTACCTCTCTGGGTCTCTGGGTCTGAATTTGGAAACCAAGGCAGTTGAACTAGATGATCTCTAATGTTCCTTAGGTCACAGCCTCTGCTTCTGTTGGGATTTGACCTCTTTACAGCTGGAACAGAGCCCTGGATGCCAAATGCAGCCCTTCATCACTTTGTTAAGTGGTGACCTTTACTAGAAGGCCCTTCCCTCCAGTAACTATCCTAGCTCTTCTTGCCTATCTTCCAACATCTATGCCACTTGCCATGCCCTGTCTTTATTGATGGATAAATAAATAACTAAATAAGCAAGCAAAGGCTATATTTCCTCAAGGACCGTGATCTTGGGAAGGTGAATTAACATTTCTGAACCTGCTTTTCTCCCCCTACCCTTCTTTTAATTAATAAAATGATAGTACATGAAAGGATATAATGCTGGATATAGCATTTTAATACTTTGTGGTATTTGAATCTGGTGATTTGTGTATTTGAGAATAAAACATTACAGATAAAACTCAAGCCTCCTTGGTCTCCTCT